GGCTATTTGTCTCCCTTTGTCGGATTCTGAGACTTCTTCCCGAGAGTTACGGTTGGGCAAAAAAGGATAAGATCGATTGAAGCTAGGCTTTTAGTGGCCCATAGCACAGCTCCAGCCTCCAGATCTAACTTAATTGTCGAGGCCAGGCAGCGGGTCCTGAATAAGCGGTTTCTTTCTATGATACCACAGGCCTCCCCGACCTGCCCCCCATGCTTCTCCCGTACATGCCTGTACCCCCCCATGTCCCATAAATATGAACCAGCCCAATAAGGCTCTGCCCTTATGATCCCCCCAAGAGAAAAGGGTGAACCCGAAGGGAACGCCGTAAGCAGAGTACGGTAGACTCATCCTGCTCATACTCGAGTACAAGCACCCAACCCCGGTTGTGGTCAATAAACCGACTCGCTCATATTGGCGCGATTTGCTCGTTTCAGGTCTCTGATGCCGACTGCACCCTGTTCGAGCGCAGGCGCTGGCAACTGCGCGGTGCCACTGATCGATAGCACAGACGCCCAACGTATTGGGCCGGGAAGCGGGCTACAGTGCCGATAGAGGAGAAGCGAGTTGGTTAAAACGCACGGGAAAAAAATTGCAATCTGGAAACCCCAATTAACGTCCGATGGTAGGAAGGGGAAACTAGGAAGCGCATGAGATAGTTATTGATATCACAGTACCGGTATGCTACTTGTAGATTTGCCCTTTTTTGTGGTCGAATTCGGAGGTTTAATTCTGTTGAAAATTCTCTCTCCGTCTGACCAACTCCCAGGCTTAATACCGGTATGTTACAATCGTGGAACACTCAAATCACACACCCGCTACTGATTGGTCGAATACGAGTAATCCTAGCCAATTGTACAAGCCAATCAATGGGGACTGCCGCATGTGTTCGGGCGGGTCGTGTACCGTATACGGGGGTTCCACGATTGATATAACTTTTTGCTTTTTTGCCCTCGTGCCACTGGGGCTGGATGAGGGAAGTGTTAGTGCGGCGATGGATACCGTTCTTTGGAAACTGATGCGAAGCGATCAGGCAAGGCTGAAGAGGCAAAAAGAAAAAAAAATAGAAAGCGGAAGTGTAAAAATAACCCCCCCCCCCCAAACTGGACAAACCTCGCTACAGCGCCGACACTATAGATTAATCGCTGGCTGCGGTAGCGAAGCGGAAGAACAAAGAGAAGGGAGAAGGGGAAGGGAAGAATGGAGGAAGGGGGTGAAGTGAGGGGCTGTGGGAAAGAGAAAAGATCCCTGAGAAGAAGCCGATTTCCGCGGGTCGCTACGTATTGCACTGTACTTGCTCGCATGCTCCCGTTATTCGGCCCTAACGTCGACCATTGCACATTGCCAACCGCATAATCTCGGCTTAGCTTGGGGGCATTCCAGCTGTCATCATCCACCCCCCTTCCCACCGAAGGCGATGCACGTTAGGCAGGTGCAAACCTATCGCATAAACAAACGGGCTTCCCGGGTGTTTGGGGGGAGAGGGGAAAAAGGATTAAGAAAAAAAGATGAATTTTCCCGTGTCGGATATACGGTAATCTAGGTCAAAATAATCGAATCTCCACAAGTTCCCGTGGATGATGAAAGTTTTTTTTTCTTTTTTTTCTTTTTTTTTCTCTTTCTCTTCGACACATACTGGAGTGCGTGGCGGGGAAATGTCATGGCGGGCTGTTGGCGGGCTGTTGGGTGGCAAACGGACCACGCGCTATCTAAAAGGTTCGTGTTTGTTCTCAGATGTCCTTCGGTAGGTCTTGGCGGTTTACAGAAAACCTTAATTCGACATCGTTCTATTTCGGCGAAGCGGACAAGACATCCTTAATTTTGGGGGATGGGGCCGCGGAAGGGAAGGGGTAAGAAAATGGACCGGAAGTCGGAATCGAGTGAGAGTACTTCCTCCAGTCTGGCCTAGTTCAGACAGGAAATTACTCTCACGATTGTCTCTTGAACGGTGTTGAGGCCGTGGAGGTGAGCCGTGGAATGCTCTTTTTTTCTTTTCTTTTTTCTCTTAGTCAGGGATTTTTGCTTATTACGGTACTCTGGGATGGGGGGATGGGTGTGTGGGTGTGAGCGTGTGTTGACGTGTGCTGTCGTAGCCGAGCCGGACAGAAACTCTGACGACAGCACAAGGGAATACCCGGCAGAGCCTCACTCCCTTGCTTCTCAGAAGTTGCTTGTGTCAACTTCCGACCTGGTTGCGCGCTAGCCATGGGTTAGGGTTACCACGAGGTGCCAAGCGTTGGAGCGCCGCCACCCAGGCCTCGAGGAAATCAGGCGGCGAGCCGATCCGAATTCATTTACCCCCTTGAAGGGCATAATTTGTTTTTTTTGTTTGTGTCTCTGCGACCACCCGTTTCATTCCTTTTTTTCCTCACTTTTCTTTTTTATTTTATTTTATTTCATTAACCCAGCTGCATCAGCGAACTTTGTCCGGTCTATATCGGTATCACCCCCTCTGTTCCCTGCAGCGCCACTTTTATACCCAATGGACGATCGCAAATGTCGGATACCTTCCTCGACCTGTAACTCGCCTCTCTCGACAGAGCAGAAACGAGCAGGTGAGGTGATTACAAAAGAGGGAGATTCTGGAGTAGTATCTACACGTGACAACGACGATCGGTCCTTTTAGATGGAAGCGGGAGGCGGCAGATATAAAAAGTAAGCATCCGGATGTTGCAGAGTTGCGACAGCAGGAAGGACGCCCCCAAGGAATAATCCCCGAATGTGATCAAAGCGCGGAGAGGGGAGAAAGCGAGAGGTGGTGATAGGCGGCAAGTTATGGTACCGTACCGGTACTTTACTGTAAGCAATGCCTCTCGTGGGAAATCGGGGGAACGGGGGAAAGGGGTGGATGAAAGGTGAATGATGGGTCAGTTTTAAAAAGGTCGTCGGGGGAAGGGCAGCAGCAATCAGCGCTGCGGACCAATTGTGAAGAGGCTAGTATGATACGGGTATTCCTGATGTAAGAGGAGGGTTTTCGATGGGGATCCTTTTTACAATGTCATCCGTGATTATTGTTATTCTCATTATTTCCTTTCTTCTCTTTATTCATTTTTACTGCCCGTCTTGGAGGGGAAAGGGGGGGGGGGGGGGTGTTCTGTGTTCTGATGTGTGGATGAGTGTGGGTGAATGAGTGAATCTACGGCGCTCTTGCTGTGGTCTATCATAATAATTTTGGGTGTGTGAGGGAAGGGGGTGGGAAGGTGGAGTATTTTACGGTATGCTCCTGTATGGTAGGGTAGCCGTGGGTTGGGTTAGGTTGGGTGTGGTGGTGGAGGCAAAGATGGGTGCTGCAATAGTCTAATGGAGCAGATGATGGATTGGTGTGTGTGGTGGTTGTGGTGGTTGTGGTGGTGGAATTTGTGGAAGGGGTGAGTGGTTGCGGCCTCTGCGTTGGGGGTGTTGCCCTCGTGGGGAGTGTGGGGCATCAAGGTCGGGCGCTGGGTTTGATAGTTGCAGGCAGGACATACATACAGCTTACAGGCATGCAGAACAAAAAACAGAAAATCCGGTGCCACACCCCCCTTCTTCCCTGGAGTGCGCTAAGCAGCTGCATGCCAAGACGACTGTGCGAGTTTCATCCACTTTCTGCTCCCAGACGAGAAGGATGGGTGGTGGTGGGTGGCTGCTGCCTCTTGTCTCCGCCCTTTCGCTCTTCCCTGCCGCTGCAGTACTGCCGTTCTGTGCGACCACTCCCCGAGCCTTTTTTTTTCCCTACCACTATTTCGCCAACCTCACCGCTGTGCGTCCTGTCGTCGCTGCTTCCTGCTTCCTGCTTCCTGCTTCCTGCTTCCACTCTTACCACTCTTACTGCTGCTCGCTTGCTGCTCGCTGCTGCTGCTGCTCTCCCTCCTCCCCTCCCCTCCCCTCTCTCCCTTCCTTCCTTCCTTCCTTCCTTCCTTCCTTCCTTCCTTCCTCCCTCCCTCCCTCCCTCCCTCCTCTCCCCTTCCTGCTCCTCCCCTTCCTCCCTCCCCCTCTCACTCTTCCTTCCTTCCTTCCTCCCTCCCTTCCCCTTCCCCTTCACCTCCGCCTCGATCAAGTGTGTGTGTGTGTGTGTGTGTGTCTGTGTGCTACTGGGGGTCCTGAACAACTCCGCTCCTTCGCAACGGGAAAGTAAAGCAACCACGACCCATTATTCCGTCCATCACCGCTACCGCTACATACAACCCTACGGTATACCAGCAGCAGCAACCACCGCAACCCACCCGGTCCGGTACGGTACCACCACCACCACCACCACCACCACCACCACCACCAAGACAACCCTATTACTACTACCCTACCCGCTTACTGCTGCGGCTATCATACCACAATCCACGACCACAACCTGCCAAAAACCCCCAACCCATCAAACCCCATCAACTTCAATCCGTTACCCTGACAATTCCTGTCTATCATCATCATCATCATCATCGCCAACCATCATTCATCACCGAAAGAGTAATCCTCTCCTCGCCCGCCACTACCCCTCATTCTCTGTGACGCCTTAGCTGTGCCATCGTCATTTGTCGCGTTGCGAGTCCATTATTCCCCTGCGTCTTCCGTCCGAACTGGCAACCAGGTTGAAGGGACACGCTATCGGCTGTTGCTTCTAGCCTTTTCTGCTTTAACCATCATTGTTCCCCTTCCTATCCTTTTTTTATCCTTAGTCGACGCTTCGCTTGCAAGCTTTGGGCTTTCCCCACCCTCACGAATCTTGACGTTACAATACATTTCTCAACGTGATAGTCCAGCAAACTTGACCGCTGCTGGTAAAGATTTTTTTTTAAAGATATTCCTTGGTAGTTATTGTCTTTTATTCTTCTGAGGGGATCACCTACCTTCGACTCTTTCATTTAAGGAAAGAGAGCCTTTGCCTATATTGATCATCTGCCGGCCGGCGTTTTCTTTCTTTCTTTCTTCTTTCCTTTTCCCTCTTTCCATCCAACTAATAGCAAAATTCACCGAACGCTGGGGTTTACTCCTTTCTTTCTTGCCTTGGATAAAATCGACATCTCTTTGTGGACATGGCTAGTGTCCAACACACAACCTCGCCGGGGCAACCCCAGGCCCTACATCAAACGAACGGACATCCTCCACAATCAATACAACAGCAGCAGTCGAAACCGACCGCTTTTCAACAGTTGACACAGGTGAACGAGGCGGTATGGCTTCAGATCGGTGTGTTGTCACTGCCCCTGGTTTTCGCCTCTTCAGCCCTCATGTTGTTCCTTGCGCTAAACCGTTTGTCTAGGCAGCGTTACCGAATTGATGGGTGATCTGGACCGGGCAATGGGCGCGTATGAAAATGCCCTTCGCCAAAACCCGTATTCCATCCCAGCAATGAACTCTATATCGTGCATTCTTCGTACCAAGGAACAATTCGCCAAGGCTGTCGAATATCTTCAAAGTATTTTGAACCTGGATGCGACCAATGGGGATATCTGGGGCAGTTTGGGCCATTGCTATTTGATGATGGATGAATTGCAGAAAGCCTACTCGGCTTACCAGCAGGCGCTATATCATTTGCGTGATCCAAAGGTATTGTTGTGCCCGCGGTAACCCGGGGCTGTGCTTAATTGGGTTGACTCTTTTCTCTCCTTTTTTAGGAACCGAAGCTTTGGTATGGAATTGGAATTCTGTACGACCGCTATGGGTCATTAGAACATGCGGAAGAAGCGTTTTCCCAAGTCATGCGCATGGAGCCTAATTTCGAGAAGGCGAACGAGATTTATTTCAGGCTCGGTATAATCTACAAACAGCAAGAGAAATACCGCCAGAGTTTGGAAGTATGTAGCAAGTATATATGTATTTGTGCGTGTGCGAATTATCCTTATCTAACATGTGGTTTCAGTGTTTCCGGTACATCGTTACCGATCCCCCACGCCCCTTGACGGAGGAGGATATCTGGTTCCAGATCGGGCACGTTTATGAACAACAAAAGGACGTAAGTGGACCCGGGAAATTATCTTGGACTGATCTTGTCTGTGCTTGCTCGGGAACTGATCGCTTGATAGTATCCATCGGCAAAAGATGCGTACATGAGGGTCCTTGATTCTGATCCTAACCACGCCAAGGTTCTCCAGCAGCTCGGTTGGCTTCACCACCAGCAGAGCAACAACTTTTCGAGTCAGGAACTAGCCATTGAATACTTGGAGAAGTCTGTTAGTGCTGGTAGGGATTTCATCTCGGTAGCGCTATTGATTGGATGGAGCTGACAGGTGTCATTGCAGACAATTCCGATGCCCAGAGCTGGTATTTGCTCGGGCGGTGCTACATGTCGCAACAAAAGTATCCAAAGGCCTACGAAGCTTATCAGCAAGCGGTTTATCGTGACGGTCGCAACCCGACTTTTTGGTGCTCAATTGGTGTCCTTTATTATCAGATAAACCAATATCGTGATGCTCTTGATGCCTATTCTCGGGCTATCAGGTTGAACCCATACATATCGGAGGTTTGGTATGATTTGGGGACTTTGGTAATTCTATCCTCTAACGCACTTGTGCGACAATGGTCAGGAATCACAAACTAACCCCTAGCAGTATGAGTCATGTAATAACCAGACGAATGATGCCCTCGACGCCTACCAGCGCGCCGCCGAGCTAGACCCCACCAACCAGCACATCAAAGCTCGCCTTTCACTTCTGCGCAACGGTCAATCCTCCGGCGTCCAGCATCAAGCCTCGGCGCCTCCCCCGCAGGATGTTCACCCCCAAGCGTACCAGGCTGCTGGGGTTGGTGGACCTCCGGGGCCGCAGTGGGGATCTCAAGCGCCCCAAGTGCCCCCACCTGCGCCCTCCGGTCCCCCGCCAACACTTCCCCAGATTCCACAGCCTCCGAATCCGTCGTCATATCGACCAGCAGACGTTCCTCCTCAACCTCCCCAACCTCCCCGTCACATGGCCCACAGCCCCGATGATATACGTAGACCTGTAGAGGATAGCAGGCACACTCAACTGAGGCGTGGATTATCTCCTTCTCCCAAATTCTCTAGTCATTCCCCTCATACTAGCTATCCTCCCCCACCCCTCCAAGGCCCCCCACCACCGCAGTCCCAACAGCAACCGCAGCAGCAGCAACAACAGCCACCCCCAAATCGTATCCTAAACCCGCATCACAGCTCCCATATTCTCCCCCCAGCCTCTAATAATCCTGGCGGAATTTCTCTGCCGCCTTACGGTGGCCGTGCAGCAAGTCCACCACCACCAGATGTTAAGCCTATCGTTGATGATCGACTGCCATCCCCTGGTACATACTCCCGTCACCCCCAACACCCCCATCACCCCTCATCGCAAGGTGGCATCGCCGGCGGTGCACCGCCACCAGCTTCAGCTACAATGGCTGCTGAAGCCGCTGCACGTGAGCGGGATGAGAAAATTCATCATAATAAACGGGCAAGGGAGTGGGAGGAAGACGAGGGGCAAGGTATAGGGAAGAAGCCAGCCTCAGAGGAGACCAGGGCTAGGATGGATGATATGCGCCATCACCGTCCATCACCGCCTGTGCGGGTTTCCTCGCCGCATCGCCCGGAGCGGCGACGGAGCTCGTCGGAGAGGCCAAGGGAGGACTACCATGGACCGCCGGCACCTTTGCACACGCCAAACGTGCCACCCCCGCTAGGCCATCAGCAGCTACCGCCCATCAACGATGGACCGCGAATGCCAGAGCCCCCTCCACGGATCGCTGAAGCCCATCGGATGTCCGAAGCTCCCCGGGACGATCGTAAGGAGATCATAGAGCCTGCGGCGAGGAAAGTAGAACTGGATGAGGACTACGATAATGAAGAAATGGGGGATGATCGGGGGGCCGGAGGAAATCCAGGCGTTCAAGTGAAGGAGAACAATAGCCCAGTGGGTAACGGCACGAATGGCATTTCGGGAGGAGGGCCGCCCGGGGGCGATTAAAGCAATGCCTTTTTGCTTTGTGTTTCTTCTCAGGAAAGTTAATGTTTGTTTGTATTTCTCGTTTTGCACCTTACCCTGGGGAGAAGAAGGGAATACCGTTAGGTTCAATTCTGTCGGTCGTTTTCTTTCTCCGCAACTATCATACTTGTTCTTTTAGTCTTGCCTATTTTTTTCCCCCGATCGAAGTGATAGCGATTATCCTGTTTTTCTTTTCTTTTCTTTTTTTCTTCTACTACTTTTCTCGTCACAATTTTGCTTTGGTATCACGGTTATTTTTTTCTTGTTTCTTTCTAACTCTTCTTTTCCCTTCCTTTTCGCTTCCTTCCATCCAATCCAAAAATAGGTCCTGTACGATTCCCGTGGAATGGGGGGGAAGTGTCTGTGTGTGGTGTGAGCAAACTACGGTAGATCGCTAAGATATGTTATTCTGGAAAGTCTTTCTTCCTTCTCTCGATTGATGATAATTGGTCCCATTGTGAGGTGTCCCGCTCGTCCGTTCCCTGTGGCTGGTTGATTGGTTGGGTTGACTACACTGTCTGCCTTCATTCAATATTACCTGCTACTCTACTATTACTCGTTCACCATTATTGTTAC